GCACCCCCCACCTCAACCACCACCTATGTACAAATTCAACCCACTGAATCCATTTAGGGCTCATATATATGTGTTTAGAAATGACCATTTGAATTTGGATAACCAATCAGAGCAATCATTCCTAGGGAAGAGTTAGTATTCATAAATTACCAGTAGCTCTTCATAGATGAGTGGGACCTCATGAGATTTCCCTAGTAAATGTAGGGATTAAACTGATCTTGTCATTGTGCATGTCTTGATGGAGATTTCATGGGTGCAGCTTTATTATCAGTTCCCTAAGGAATTTTCTGCTACTAGAAATAAAACAACCAAAACCCAAATCAAAGCTGCTGTAAATATGTATCACTTCATATTGCTAGACAGACTTGGCAGTGTTGTTCACATGGTTCTGGCTTTAGAGTCATGAAGTATACACGAAGAAAAGGGTCATGGAATCTTCTTCCATTGTTAAACAGAGCAGTCAAGGCCAGGTGTGTGGTAGGGGAATACTGATATGGAGGCCTTGAAAGGCTGTTGCATAAAGTTGTGAAGGTGATGACTGGGTTGCTGTAGAGCCCCCCAAGATGTTGGAGATTACAGAGACATGAGACATATACCAAAGAGAGCTGGGGACAAGAACTAGAACCAGTCCAAAAGCAAAAGGTATGTTGGAGGCAGCAAATCCAGAGGGTCAGAGCCATTTAAGCCTTTTGACTTCAGACAGGGAGCTACAGAATTTGCAATCTTCCCTGCTGGATTTGGTCCGATATTTTCTCACTATCCCCTGATTTTGTGCTATTGTGTGTTGGAAGTGTAATCCAATTGCTGGTTTTAAAAGGACTTTCAGTTTAGACATTGTCTAGAGTCTCAGAAGAGATTTCGAACTTTCTGTTTTTAAAAATACTTAAAACTAAAAGAATATGGTGATTTTTGAAGTAGGATTAAATGCATTTTACATTTTGACATTGTCAGACACCAATGGAGGCCAGAGAGTGGAATGTGGTGATAAGGATAGTAATGACTCCCTTAGGCCCATGTTTGAATATGTGGTTCCCCATAGGTGGCACTATTTGGGAAAGATTAGGAGGTATGGTGCTGTTGAAGAAGGTATGTCACTGGGAACAGACTTTGAGGTTTCAAAAGTGGTATCTTTTCTCAGGGTGCTTTCTCTCTCTCCTTCTTGAGGATCAAGAAGCAAGCTCTCAGCTTTTCCTGCCACTAAGTCTTCACTACCCCATCATAGACTTTAACCTTTTGAAACGACACTAAATTAAATGTTTCCTTTTATCATTTGCCCTGGTCATAGTGTTTCATTACATCAATATGAAATAAGTAGTACAGTACTGTTTAATCTCTGTGTAATTACTAGAGATTAGTTTGCTATTGACTTTAAGCTTTACTTCATTGTAGTCAGTTTGGGCACACAGACTTATTTACTTTTTTCTAAATTTGATATTTGTTTTATGTCTCAGTGTATGGCCTGGGAGTACGAAGCTGGTGTGTGAGAGCTTGATTCTGTAATAGTTTCTTCTTCTTTACTGCTGTATTCTTTCCTGTTATCTCTCCCCATCTACTGGTCCCCTTCCCTCCCCCAAATAATTATACTTCCTCCCGTTTCACAGTTCCCCTTTTATTTTCATGTCCTAGATAAACGTCACATATATTTGCATATAAAATTAAAACACTTTATATTCATTTATCTTATTTTATATATATGATTGCACATGGGTGTGTGTGTACCATGAGCATGCCTGGTGCTTACAGTGTTCAAAAGATGTTACAAAGTTTCTCAAAACTGAGGTTTTGGATGGTTGTAAGCTACCATGTTTGTGCTGGAAAACTGAATCTGGGGGCTCTATAAGAGGAACAATGCTCTTCTTAACTGTTGTGTGAGCTCTCCAGCTTTTGTATATAATCTTTTATCTAGATTCCATATGAGAGAAAGCATTTGATATGTTTTTCTGAGTCTGGATCATTTCTCTAATATAATCTCCAACTCTACCTATTTCCCTGTGGCTGCCATAATTTTTATTGTAGTGGAATAAAATTCCATTGTGTATAAAAAACTCATTCTCCTTCTTCTTTATTTGCAATTATAATATAATTACATCATTTCCCCCTTTACTTTCTTCCCTTCACCCTCCCTCCATATAGCCCTCCTTGCACTTTTTCAAATTCATGGTCTATTTTTCATTAGTTGTTGTTTCAGGCATAAATGTATTCTATGAACATATGTCGTCTTAAACACAACATGCTCAGTCTTTATAATGCTACTCTTTGAATGTTTTCATTGGATGGCCATTTGGAATTTGACAAATACTTGGTATGTGTTTCCCTGGAGAAGACTATTTCTCTCAGTTGCCTAGAGTTCTTTGTATAGAATTGAGGTCTTGAAGGCTTTCTCCCATCCACTTTAACATGTCTATTGTTGTTGTCCTTGTTTAGCTCTTGTGTTAGGTTGGTGAGGCTTCAAGGGTGTAGCTTCTGACATTACTAGGAGACACATCTTATAACAAACTCCCTGATCCTCTGGTTCTCTTCAAATGCAGGGTCCAGAGGGTCCTGAACTGGAACTGACTTGAACATCTCCTTCCCGAGGACTAGTTTTCACAGTACCAGAAGGTGCCATTCAAGCTTTCAGAGGAGAGAAGCAATGATCAGTCATGTTCAGCTTTGATGCTTATGAACCACAACAAAGAGTAGCATTGAATGTTAGCTTTCAGGGTGCAGTAGTGACATTCACATCTGGGTGGTAACCAAAAGCTGTCTAATTGGATTTAAGACCCACTCAGCAACAGGAAAATCATGCCTCATACTGGAAACTCAGTTAACTGCTTAGTGCTACTGAAGTAATGGATCTAGGAGAATAACCCATAAACACTGCTTTACTAAACCAGTTTAATCTCTAACTAACTTTCAATATATGTCCTTTACCCACAGATAAATGTATTCCTCACCACTCATCAAGGAAAATTCTCTTTTTTAGCAGGAGTGTCAATTATAGAAAACTAAAAGCAATGGAGCCCAGTCCCAATGGATACATCTGTACCTCATTTTCTTTATTCATTCATCTATAAACATTTAATATGCCAATCTGTCATTGGCTTTATTTAACCATTTTAAGTGTAATACAATTTAGATACAGCTTTAAATTGATTGGTAGGATTTCTAAATAGAAATTGGTTCTCTTATAATGGGATAATCATATTCAGAGGTCCTGAACAGAAAAATCCTCCTTAGTGTTACTAGGTAATAGCCTTACTTGGGGACAGTGTCATCAAAATGTTTTAATATTCCCAAGATTTTAATGTCTAGCATGGATTCTTCTAATCTAATGGGTACTTTCTAGTGGCGTTTTCATAAATTGGTCTGAAATAATTTGTTCCAAGGCAATTTATTATATTAACGGGAACCTCTGTAAAAAAAAAAATGCTCCTTCTTCTACTTTACTCAAAATAACTTTTCTCTTTTTCATTTAAATGCTACTTTTTATTGTTGTAATGCTTGACTTTGTGCTACCTCTTGAAGTGCTTTATGATCACATAATTGGGACTGAGCTGGAACTAAACGCACCTAAGCAGAATGGTTGCTGCTCACCAAATGCATAATTATTGTCAGGAAGGCTAAAAATGTAGAATGTCTGTCAACTTTAAAACAAGTGCACAGGGGAGCAGTAGTGGGAAGATGGAAATCACAGCTGGAGGTAATGATTATTCCGAGCTTCTAGCTACAGCAAACATAGCATTTAGAAATTCACCAGCATTCCTTTTAAATGTTCAAAACTCTTTGCAAAACAAACCATACATTAACTAGAGCACTGGTGACTGAATTGCCTACACTCTGAGCTGCCTGCCCATAATTTTTAGGAAGGTATTTCTTCCCCCATACAACTTCAAAAGAAAGAATCATAGATCTTTTCCTTCAGAAAAGTGTATCCAAAAAAGGCAGAAAATAATGTAGCCATCCGTTGAGAAATAACACACAGCACTTGAATTTTTTATGTTTTTCAGCCCCTTGTAAGATTTGAGCTGAATTTCAGTCACATGTTCCAAACAGTAATATCTTACAAAGAGGCCATCACTTCTTAAAAACAGACCACGAGCTGTCCCTTGTGAGCCTCACGACAGGTGTGGAGCCATCTGTGCAAGGTGAGGAATGAAATGACTCAGTACCATCTTTTCAGGTATTAGGTCAAAAACTTCCAGAGTTTGACCTCGTAGTTTATTCTTCTTACACCTATGCATTGCAAAACTCAGGGGAAAGATTTCCACATGGCAATTAGCACAACAAAACTTTAGCATAGCTCCACAGAAGCTCCCTAGCAAGGTAGCAGTCTAAAGGTGACCTTTATAATATGTTCTATTATTAGCTGATAAACAGAGCTCAGGCCTAGGGGCTACAGGAAGGATCTGTGATAAGGATAGACTCTATTGGTGGAGGAGGCAAAATACATGGGACTTCTTCCATAAGAAGGAGTTCTATTCACTGAGAGACAAAGCCTAGGAGAGGGCCAAAACAAATTTCAGGGTACTGGAGGTGGGGAATTCAGGTGAGGATGGCTCCTAATAGAACAGCAAATGACCACTTGTTTGACCACTTTCACTGATATACTAGGTAATCAGACATCATTCATTCCTTTCCTCTGAAGAAAATAGGCCTGCCTGATTGACAACCCTGGTTTCTCCAATGCTTGCTCTAAGTTGTACTTCCTACCATAAGGCCTTTACTAATAAGCAAAGTTTACTGATTGGTATCTCATATATGATTCCTGTTGCTTCTTTCACATCTTATGTTGGCAGCACTCTTTGTGAGCATCCTTTTGCAATTTGCTAACTTACTGGTACAGAGCCCATGCTCCTTTCTGCTGATGAAACATAAGTCACAACCTTGCTGTAAACCACAGGTGGAGGATGAAGTCACATGTGAAAGCATCCTGATTCTGGCAGTAGGGTACTACAGTATACCCCTCCTGCTGGGAACTACCTTTCATCCTCTGTAGTAGGGCTTTGTAAGTGAAAAATCCTTTGTAAAATTCAGACAGTATTATCCACTACACAGGACTGGCTAGATTCCATAAAGCCTACCTGGAGAAATGCCAGTTCAATGCTACTACTTTTCAGGCAAGGAAATAATGACCTGAATATGTAAGTAATTTGCTGAAAAAAGCAAAACACACAAGCCAGGCAGAGATAGAGCACATTTTTAATCCCACCACTCAGGAGGCAGAGGCAGGCAGATCTCTGTGAGTTCAAGGCCAGCCTGGTCTATAAAGAGAGTTCCAGGACAGCCAAGGCTGTTAACACAGAGAAACCCTGTTTCAAAAGACAAACCAACCAACCAACCAACCAACAAACCAACCAATAAATAAATAAATAATAAGACTGAACAAAAGCAACTCAACCAAACCAAACCAAACAAAACTGGAGCTGTTATCATTGCTGAGCAATAGTTATCATTGAAAGAACTCCCAAGGTATTACAATATGTTAAGAAGCTCATGCCCTTAAACAGGAGACGATCCTTTCAAACACAGGAGGACACCATCTATATTGACAGAAGACAGATTGAATGTACCCCTAATGAACTGGCCCAAATATGAATTTATGCTGACAGAGTCCAGGCTTCATTCTGCAGGACTCTAGGATGAATTATGATTTCACACAGCTTCCCCAAAGTTCTACTGCATCGAACACTGTTCAATGAAAGTGAGATGCATTGTGTATTAAGCAGACCCATGAAGGTGTGTGGAGCCAGCACTGTCTTGAGTTGTGATAAATGTGGTTTCGATCTGGTGACCCTTACAGGTCTCTACAGGTCTACAGGGATGAATGTCCACTAGTGAAATTGCTTGCCTCTTGGCCAATGAAACATTACAGGCACTTAGAAGGAAAGAGATTGAATTGGTTTTATTTCAAGGATTAGGAATATACAAACATTCTCATTCTACTTGCATCTTTTATTTTTCTTGTGGAGAATAATTATGAAGTACAATATAACTATAATTCATTGGTAATTCACACCTGAGGGTTTCTTTCTTTTAGCAATGGGGCAGTACCATTATGAGAAGGAAATTGGTGAGAAGGATAAATTTAATACTTGGAAAATGTTTAGATTTGTTTTTTTTTTTTTGTATGTAGAGATTTATAGAACAGAATTTTCCAGAAAAAAAAAAAAACAGACTTTTATTTATGGGACTTGGCTGAGCCAGGATTTGTCCTCTAGCCTGGAAATGATTGCTAGAGAAGGATGGTCAACTGGATCATGCTTTAACTGTAATGGACACCTGTACAAAACTGTAGCCTTTGAGTTCATTAGAACCAAGGCAGCCAGTCAGCTCTCCTCTTTCACTGCCTGGTTATTTCTGTGTCATCATCCCTTAGTGGTTTTCTGCAGCGGGGGCATCATCTACCTTGAGCTCTTGGAAGATCCACTTTTGAGTGGATTCCTGGACTCTCAGGCTGTCGTAGTGTCCACTGAGGCAGCATCAAGCTGTCATCTCACTATACAACCACTCGAAGTTCAGAGAAAAGTGCTCTAAAATTTTTTGTCTTCTTCTCCTTGTCTGCTCTGTGGAGCTGAAGGCTTTGCTCTGTGGCAATCTCAACCTCTGAGTTTCCTAAGATCCAAAGTCCTATTGCCCCATCTGTCACTCTTCCCTACCCACTATCCCATTTAGTTTTTGTGTTTGTTCATTCTAAATTCACTTATTGGTAAGTTTCTAGGCTATAAAATACTGTTTAAGAGGTTTTAGGGAAAAAATACAGTTTGATCTTAATGAATCATGGCAGATGTATAAACTTCAAGTCATCCTAGCAATAATCATCATTTATTCTTGGTTCTGGTCTTTGCAATGGATGTTAAGTTCTTATGCAAGATTTTAACTCCTTGTGTACTGAAACAGATCTTAAAGTGATTGTTGTAGTTATTTGCTACCCTTTCCTATGTGTTTGACACAAACCACATTAAGTGGAATCTTACAGATCAGGGCAATTCTCATTTCACACAAACATTTATCTTAGTTAACCGGCCATATTACAAATATAAAATATTGAGTCCTATATTGAAATAAATAACAGTATCTGCCTCATTATTAGCAGAGTGTTGCAAAATGTCTCAGAGAAATGTTTGACAAGATGAACTAATTTATATCTTAAAATGTAATTTATGTTTCACAGATTAGCACATGACATAGTACTTGATAATCTGTCTGCCCAGATCTCTATGGACTCTACATGCTAATGTTAACAGGAGACTCAAATTCAGACAGAAATGCATTTATCCATGGAGGAACATTTGCAAACTATGAATAGGCTTTGAAATTTCAGGTTTGAGGGTTATGTTCTTAAACTTTGATGTTAATTTGAGAAGTAATCTAATTTCATTTATATGTAAATGTAAAAGCCATGGTTCTATCAAGAGAATTCCAATGTCTAACAAGTTACTCTATTCTATCTTCAGATTCAGCTAAGATGCAAACATGTTAATTAAATGAAATGAAATCGATCATCATTCCATCCATGCACTGGTTCTTCAAAAATGATGTTGGCTTGATGTTTCCTTTTGGGAGGGATTTTAACAAATTCAGTTTATGCCACAGGGCTTCTCTCTCCCTCTGCCTCTCCCCTACTCTCCCTCCATCCTAGAGGTCCTGGGGAAGAAGTCTCCTCTGAGCTCATTTAGGCTGGGACAACTTTGAAACCCTCTGGTCCTCTGTTTTCTCATGGGCTGTATGACGGGCCTCTTCCTGATGAGCATATCTTCCTGGTCATATTGCCCGGTCTGCGGTCTGCTCATCAAGGTACCTGCAGCCCTTCTCAGATTTCCAGTCTTTCACTTTGCTCTGCCACATCTCTCTGACTCTAGTTAGAAAAAGAATATCTTGTAAATCCTTGCTTCATTTAACTGGGCCACCTAGGTAATGGAAAACAATCTTCATCCTATAAATTCCATATTTATCATATAACTGGAAAGCCTGTTTGCCATGTGAAGGGCACATAGGCAGATTTCAGAGATTAGGGTGCCATTCTGTCTGGCATAGTCAACTTTCTGTATTGGCTATAAATTTCACTGACAGATGCTCTTAGTTTGACATCCTTCCTTATAATTTAGTCCTTTTATAGTCACTAGGATACTTAGATTATTGGCTTCAAATCTACCTTCCATTTCAAAGTAAATGTGTAGTGTTAGCAGACTTCCTTTGCTTCAGCTGCCACCCACCAATTACATTTACATTCAGAATTCTTTAGGTTGCAATTTTTCCTATTGTTTGTTTTAATTAGTAGAGTTTTATAGTATATTACTTGATTAAAATACTGATCTGTCTGATAGGCATTATGGCTTTGTTTAATTTCATTTTTGTCAAAATAATATACAATTTCTAAATTTTGACATCTCTTGTGTATTTCACAGTGGCAAAGGAAGCTGGTGAAACATTAAAGCATGTTTACTGAAGAGAATATTTATTCTGCATTAACAATCCACCATTTCAACTGTCTCCAATCTTCTGTAGTGTAACTGCTGTTATTTATATTTATTACTATTTTGAGATCTGTTGGTTAATATAAGATTTTGTACATGTGAGTATGACTCTTTTATTTGTTTTTCATACCCCTCTCTTTAGTTTTGCTAGATTTTATTTTTATTTAGAACAAATTGTGAAGTTGTATTTTCCAGTTACATCACTTTTTAAGATTATTAGGTATTTGTGTCATATTGTCTCATTTATTAGTTTTGGTATTATTTCTTTTTTTGAACACTACACTGACTAACATTTCTAGAACTATTCTGGCTTTCTATTTTAGATGGTCTTTGGGCAGAATTTTTCTGTCCCGCCCCGTTCCTATGCCCTTTAGTCCCAAATAAACACAAAGAGGCTTTCTATTAGTTATAAACTGTTTGACTGATGGCTCAGGCTTTTTATTGGCTAGCTCTCTCTTATCAACCCATTTCTATTAATCTGTGTATCTCCATGTGGTCTTGGCTTACCAGAGAATGCCCAATCATCCTACCTTTGTGGTAGCTACACGTTGTCTCTCTCGTGACTCACTGTCTGCATTCATCTTCCCAGAATTCTCCTAGTCTGTTAGGCCCACCTATACTTCCTGCCTGTCCAATGGCCAAAACAGCCTCACTCATCAACCAATAAGAGAAATATGTATTCAGCATACAGAAGGATATCCCCCATCAATGGTCTATGATTTTGGGCATTTACCTTCAATATATTTGTTGTTTTGTGTCAACTATGTAGACTTTTACTTGTTTATCCACTCTTACAAAAAAATTACTTTTTCTTATTAGGTATATTTAAAACTCTCTAATTATTGATATGACACATCTTACTCTATAGTGTTGGTATAGGATCTTTCTTACTTTATTTGCTTGATCTTTTTCTTTTCATTTCACTTAAAAATATTTTAGTGTTTGTATGTATGCAGAAACATTTGTTAATGTTTGTGTATGTAACTCTATATGTTTAGATGCACATGTATGAGTACATTGTGCACAGGCATGTTGAAACCATAGGACAAACTCAACTGTTATTGTTCAGCTACTGTCTACCTTACTTTCGAGACATGTTTGCTCACTACTGAGGTCCTTATCCAGTGGGTGAGGCTGGCTTGCCAATAAGCCCTAAGGATCTCCTTGCCTCTCCTGCTCAGTGCCTTGTTTACAACCACAGTCCTACCATGCCCAGCTTTTTCAAACTCAGATCCTCATACTTGCAAGGCAAACACTTTATGACTGAGTGATCACTCCTATCCCTTCTATTTCATTTTTAAAATTTTATAGACCATTTCATTATCCCATTTAATATCCACCTAAGTTTTTATTAGACCTTTAATTTACTGTTTTTGTAAAAATAAAGTAGTATTATTAGAATTAATGTTGTAACATTATGTGGGAACAGAAAGCCTTATAAATGTGCTATCTCCACACTCCCAGGCCTATGTCTGGACACACAGTTCATTCACCTGCTTCCCAAGATGAGATCCCATAACCCCATCTGCCAGCACCACCTACTACTTCCCAACTGGTGAGCCACACCATAACCAAGTCTTCCCATGCCATCTCCATCCTCGAAGCTTAGCTCCTGGGCTCAACTCTCAAATCAACTTTGCTTGGTGTACTCCCCAAAATATCACCTGCCATCTGCTCTATTGACTGATTTCCCTGGTTTAGTTCCCACAGCCATTTCCAACCCATCTCCACACTCCCAGGTCTAGCTCTAGGTGTATAACTCACATTCTTGTCTTGCCTTGTGAATTCTCCATAACCCTGCCTGTCTGCTCTCTCCACACTCCTAGGCTAGCTCAGGAGACACATCTCCTGCACCAGCCTTTCCTCTCAAGGTCTTCTCAATTTCACCCAGCTTCACTTACTCCCAAGCTTCCACACCTATCTCTGGTTTTAAACTTCTTCTCCTACCTTACCTGATGAATTTCTTTATAAACCTTACCCACCTTTACCATCATCATGCTCCCAGTCAGAGCCCTAGTTCTGAAGCTCCTGCAGTGGCCCAGTCTGACTTAGGCAAGAATCCTACATCAAACACAACCAAATCTATAAGTTCATGTGCCTAGATGATGCTGCAAAAATAGAAGCAACTGAAATGGCAGGAAATTATATCCATCCTACTCCCTGAGAAACCTATAAAAATGTTTTCTGATGAGTATCACTCAGATGAACCACAAGATATAGACTTTTTTAAAGCTATCATAATGCAGATCAAAGAATTGAAGGATTTTTTTTTTTTTTTTTTTTGGTTTTTCGAGACAGGGTTTCTCTGTGTAGCTTTGGAGCCTATCCTGGCACTCGCTCTGGAGACCAGGCTGGCCTCGAACTCACAGAGATCCGCCTACCTCTGCCTCCTGAGTGCTGGGATTAAAGGTGTGCACCAGCAACACCCGGCAGAATTGAAGGATTTTAAAGAAGACTAACTGAGCACTAACGCTCAGTGAACTTGAAGAGGATTGGAATAAATACCAGAGTGATGGCCAGGAAACAAATATGCAAATGAACAAAATGAAGAAGGCAATTCAGAATTTGAAAATTGAATTCTTTCAAGACAGAAATATTGAAGAGAACTTAGGCTGAAGTAAAGGTGAAATTTAAAAACTAGATGACCCAGTTATAAAATTCATGGACAAGCATTACCAGTAGGACTGTCTGATAACTCAGAAATCCACAACTGGTCAAAGTGTAGAGAACAACTGATTGCAGAGTATCCAACGACAATAGATACATTACAATCCCTACATTTATGCCCTACAGAAGTGGGTTAAGTAAGAGCCAGAGGACCAAGACTTCTGTGGTGAGATAGTGTCTTCTGGATCTGTCAGAGAAGCTGCACCCATAAAATCTCAACAACGAGGCTGTGTAAACAAGAGTGTCACAATGATACTAGTTGATGCCCCAGAATGGTTGGGGAAATCTCCCAAGGCTCCACACCTAGGTGAAGAGCTCACCTGGAAAGAAAATGGGCCAGACCTCCTCGACTGCACTGGATCCAACTTGCTCCATTTCAACGGATACTCAGGTCAGAGCTTCGGATACTGACTTCAATCATGTTGAGGATTTCAAGTGAGATCTTCAATCAAGTGAATCCCATCTAACATGGACTGGATACAGTCCATTCAAGACTTTCAGTATACTAACATTTTCTTCCTACAGGACCCCACAAGGCTATCGTCATCCCATTTCAGCAGGAAATAACTTGGAGGATGCTACGCCCCCTTAGGGATAGCTTGTTATTATTTATGGTTGGGATTGGAAGGAGGTGTTCAGGCTTGGACACCTCTTTCAGATGATTTTAGGGTTTAGTTAAAATAGATAGTTAAGATGTGACATAAGCAGATTGTTTTGTCTTCTTATATTTCACCTTTGTGATTGTTAATTTTGGATACTTTACACTGTTAAGTTTTAATCCTCTTTTAGACTAAAAGGGGAATTGTAGGGAAAGCTGTAGCCACGCCTGCTTAGGGGCTGGCTACAGGTGTGCCTGGCCACACCTGCGAAGGCGTGGTCAGGGTGACATAGAGTGAGAGGCGTTCAGGTGGCTGTTTTCGGTTTCATTTTCGCTTTCGGCTTGCTGTACAGACTGCTGCCAGCCTGCTGGCTAGGTCGCTCTGTAAGTAAGCCTTTTTCCCTATTAAAATTAGTTGTATGTACCTGGCTCCATATTGGTAATTTCCCAAAATAGTTTCGGGTTATGGCTGCTGAGAAAGGGAGAATCTCTTCTCCTGGGAGGAGCTTCCTAATAGGTTTTCCAATCATAGTGGTCATTTGTAAATACATATACATATAAACCATACTGAATGCACTCAGCAGTGTGTGTGTGTGTGTGTGTGTGTGTGTGTGTGTGTGGCCAATAAGGAAGAAGAAGTTACGAATTTGTGAAAGAGTTTCACAAACATGGTTTGGGAAGACCAATGGGTAAATGGGTGGAAATTATATGAATACAGTATTCATGTCTGAATTTCTTAAAGCTACATAAAAGCATGTAAAAATTAATTGAATTTATACTTTAATCCTACAGCTTGCTTCTTTATATATTATAAATCCACATTGGAATGCCATCATTACTCTTTTAAATATTTACTATGACTTGAAGAAATAAAGACAATGAACCAAATAATGTTTATGTTACTCACACACTTAACCACTTTCTGAAATTTTCTCTACAAGTGTGCCCACTTTCCATTTGTTATCATTTCTGTTCAGTTGGAAGGCGTTATTTTAGAATTGTTGGAGAGCAACAGTTTTCTAACTATTGAATCTTCTGTTTTTTATTTTTAGAAAATCCTGTACAGGCTTTTATTTTCAGAGCAACAAAAAGCCATTAGGCAGAATCAAGCAAGGAAGTAAAGATCACTTATCACCCTGGGTAAACAGTTAATCGGGTGTTTAATATAGACCAAGAGGCAAATTCAGATGTCCTTGGCATGGACTGGACAAGACAAGGATGGAAACAGTCCAAATGGAGATATGAGGCTTACAGAAGAATGTGTCTTCTGAAATGACTGTGACAAGATAATAGAAATGTTTCTGTCACACAGTTTAAGCCACACTGTAAATTAACAAAGAGATATTGTGGTTTAGCAATATTTTAAAATATATATTTTTATTGAAACAAGTTTTAATTATATTAATAAACTAATAAATTAAATATTGTTATCCAATTAAGAAACAAAACCAGGAGACACTGCTTCAGTCTATTTCTTATTTCTTATTTATCTAGAATAAATGTAAATTAGTTTTCCATATAACATGGTACATTTAATTGCACACATGACATATTGGTAAAAATTAAGCATTCCTTTATGTACATGTAGTCCTATAAGATTCCAGTCCAGATAATACAATTTATTGTCCAATAGGTCACATTAATTTGTTATATTTACTTCTTTGGCAACTAGCATACCCCAGAGTACCATGACTATTCACAGATATGATTTAGTGAGCTGTGTGAGTAGCATATGAATATTAACCATAACGAGTAAAATTTAAGGATCCCATTCCATGTTTTCCTATTCCTTTTTTTTTTTTTAATATGGGGAGGGATGACAGAGCAAAGCTAAGTA